ACACTTCGTTTGACAGTAGTACAAGTAGCCTCCAGAAAACAATGAGCAAAATGACTTAGACAAATCAGACACGCATCATTAGCAAAACCAAAGCTATAAGGCTCTTTAAAGGCTGTAGCACCAAAAGCCCTGCATTGTGTGAGTGCATCTTTTTCAACGTACCATTAGCATGTTTGGCCAAGCAGATGCAGAACGACATGTTTCTGAAAATGTGCAAAAGTCGGTCCATCGTTTATCCTTCTTTTGGCTCTTTTGTTGTCTCCAACCACTGCACCACCAGCTCTGTGATACAATAAGATAAGGTGTACTTCATTGTCCCAGTGGGATATTTGCCTTGGACTTCACAGTGCTCTGATAACAGTAACAAAATATCCAATTACATCTATTCATCAGTCAAACATGCCCAGTTAAATACTCATTAAATTCCATACAAAGGAAATAAATAAAATCATAAATATGTAATAATTCGGAGCAGTGATGAACAACAGCATTTACATCTTCACACACACTCCCACCCTCACACACATATAGACACACACCTTACAGCTTAGGTGGTGAAAAGCTTTAATAGAAAAGGGAACCCTGTGTCGTCTGCCTGAGGGGAGGAGCTGGTGCTCGGGGTGGAGAACATCATATGAGTTTGAGATGTATGCCTGATGTTTGGTGCTTACCTGTATGATGGGTTTATTATAGCGTTTGTTGTTGTAGCCTTCTACAACTCAAACAGGAAGGTAAGATTAATGAGAATGATTCAGAATGATTAATTCTGAATTTAACCTTATATGCGTAAAGAGGCGCTTCTATTTTATTTTTTAACAGCCTCACTTTAAGTTCAAAGGATAAGTCTTGTAAAAGTCCCCAAAAAAACCCCAACATGATTGTCTAATACTGTGGCTTGATAGCAGCCTTACTTTATAACAGACAGTGAAATGCTTTCAGTGGACGACTGTCCAACGCAGCAGATGGCAATGATACTAAGCATCAATATTTAAGTTGACAGGTCACTGTGATGACTGTCTTTGTTATATCGGCCTTGGAGTAAAATCATCCTTTAAGGAATTTGTAACCATTGCAGAAAGTGTTTGTTACTATGGATCTTGGTTTCTTTGGTAATGTTTCAGCCGCCTCCAGAGAGAGTATTAACGAGGTCCTTGGGAAACTTCATTTTGCCCACAAAATCTGGAAGTTGGTCTGGTAGCTGGAGAGGTGCCAGGGCACTTCCCGAGCACTGTCGAGGTGCCTTTGAGCAAGGCACCGAACCCCACTGCTCTGGTGCGCTCTCTGCTTAGCAGCTTCTAGCAGCCCCACTCCGACATGTCTCCACCATTGCATGTTCACAGATCCTGTTTGTGCATGCGTGTGATTCGGGCCTGTGTGTGTGAGAAGCATGTCCCTATAAATAACAGAGTGTGAACCCCAAAAAAAGAAAAACACTTGGGATAACTGCTAAAGTAAATACATCTTGGTCCAGACACTTCATGAAGAACTGATCCACTTTCTACTTCTATATCATAATACTCTTAGAAACCCAATTATTTTTGTGCATGTCTAAGAAGAAAACTTATGGAGCATCAAAAGCAATTGGCCTGCTAACCTACCCTAACCTGATCGCACGCTACAGCCACTTGTGCTCTCGTTTCGCTGCAGGTGCAGCATCTAGTTTTGCTTGTAGCCTACATTGTCGTTTTTTTGTGGCTTTTGAATGTTGTGAGAGTTTTCATGCTGACCTTTGCAAGTCTGAGGAAGACCCTTTTCCTTAATTAGGACTGCTTTCGCGCTTGCAGTGACTCAGACAGTGGTCAAATCTACAAGTCCTGAATACATTTTCAGTTCAAAGTTAAGATTTGAATTAGTCAAGGCCAATTACTCTTTGAAATCTAAAAATATTTGTTGTTTGGCATATGCTAACACAGACCTGACCCTGCTATTTATTTTGTACATTATTTTAATTTATGCTAATTATACTGGTCTTCAGCAAACAGAGTGTGAAAGAAATCACATTTGGTGGTCTACAGCCTTCATATATGCTGCACAAGCTAACCGCTAGGCTATCTGCGCTCCCAGAAAAAAAAACATTTTTAACTCTAACAAAACCTCATTTAACTTCCCTCCTTTCATTTCCTTGTAAACAACATGAAAATACATATAATGATCCCGTATCTGCATCAGAGAAGTGTTTCCACATCAAGAGATTTACTGTGTTCTCATACCCATGAGTCATAGCTGCATTACTTCATTGATTATTTGAACTACCAGGCACACAGACAGAATAAGTCAGGATTTAAATATTGATGCTTTGTGTGCTTAGCATCAAAGAAGTACATATCTGTATTCCTATATTTCCAAACTGGACAGACTGACTATTTTCTAAACCTTCTGTCTCTTGAAAGGCCACTGGATGGTCAGTACTAATACCTGTGGCCTGGTTGTCCATGGTGATAGCAGGTATTTGTTGTAGACCTCGTTTTCAGAGTAAACTGGAGATAAAAGGTGAATTGCTTTGTTTGGAGTCTAATGGATCCTAGTGATGACCTGAAAGTTAAGTGAACTAAGATGACACTGTATTTCACCCTGATGAAGGTTAATGATAACACTAGCTTACACAGACAACACATGCAGCTCATTATTTTTAATTAGCCCCACCTTCTCTGCCCTTTAATGCAAACCTTTGCCGATGCTTTTGTGTGCTGTGTCAACAGCATTTTGCTCCCCCTAAAACTTTCACTCTCAAACAAGAGGTGCCTGAGCTTTTGTTTCCTGTTTAATGATCCCTCTCTCCATACCGACTGATCTTTTTAATTGCATCCCTTTGGACTAACAGAACTTTCTTTGCATTCTCTAGTGTGTAATGTAATCCTGCAGTGCCTTCCAGATGTAACCATTACCCGTAAAACAATACTGAGGTTCCTTGTGGTCACAAACTAAACCTCCCTCCAGCCTTGCCTGTATTATTCAATATTCCAGTTCAATACTGTATTGGAAATGCCACAGTGTATCAAGTTGTAGCCCAGAATCCCTGAGAATTAAATTCAGTTTGGATGATTCACCAGGACATGATTTATGTCTGTTGTGAATTCTCTGAGACAACACTGGAGGCAGAAGGCGCTCTGTCAGCGAGGTATAAAGGAGACTAGAGGTGATGGAGGAGCACTGACTTTCATGTCTTTGTTTTTCAAATATATTTTGGGGCGTTCTATGCTTTATGTTAGAGATAGGAGATTGGATAGAGTGAAACTGAGGAGAGAGAGAGAGTGTGGGAACAACATGCTGAAAAGGAGCCACAGGCTGGATTCAAACATGGCCGCTCGCTGCCTCTGTACATGGGGTGCGTGCACTAGCCGCTATAGGCTACACCGGCGCTCTTCCAATCTATATATTTAAAATACATAAATGAGTTTGTGTATACCGTCATCTCTTAATAATTTATACATTTGCCAAATCAGTATTTAAAAAAACTGTTGGATAGATTAAAAAAAAAAAATCATTTCAGTTACCCAAGTTCATTGGAAGATTAAACCTATTGATTTGTTGAATGAGTGTCAGGTATATTTGAGGTTTAGGCAGCCTGATATATTGTGTTCTACTTTAAAATTTGTGTTAGCTTCGGCATCTCCTGACAAGCATTATGTAGGAAAGTGAAAAAGCTTGGTTTCAGTGTTGTTGTTCATCCCTCACTCAATTTTTTATGTGCCGCCACGCTGACCCAGCTGCATTATGGGTCAGCTGGATAAACGAGCAAGTGTCTGTTAATGCGATAAAGGACAGACGGGTCGTTTGTCCTCACAGCCTGTGTGCCCACTTTAACACACATACACAGATAAAATGCACAGTTTTTCTTTCAACGCATACAGACAAGACAGACATGGATGACAAACAATCCATTCTGTCTAATATCATTAAGAGGGCTGGCTGCAGTACAATCTGTAATACGTGTGTGTGTGTGTGTGTGTGTGTGTGTGTGTGTGTGTTTTTGTGTTTGGTGTGCGTGTGTGGGTTTGTGCCTTTACTGAGGCGGTATCGGCCTAATCGGTGTTTGGCCTCATCATTGATTGGTGTCACATAGCTCAGACTTGTGTTTAACCTAACCACATTAGGAATGCCCACTTCGACCTTGTGGTCAATAAAATTCATTCGTAATTTATTAAGATGTCCTCACCATCACTAACTGTGAAGCCAGTAATAAAAGCTCTCCTCGACAAACTTTCAAACATTTCTGAGGTTAAAAAAAGCTAAGTGTTATCAGCACAGTCTCCCTGAATTATGGGAAGTACTCATTATGAACAACAACAGTAAAATATGATGTGATTGCATTAATATCACTGCTGCATCCATTTGATCAAGTCTTTCAAAAAAGTTTTGTTAAGTTATATATTTTGGGATTTATAGTTTCATTACCCTATAGTTTCTCAACTTCTGAATAAACACTTTTGAATTTCACCATTGAGAATCCTGTCCTGATGCGATAATAATGGCAATGTGTAAAGTATAAAGCTGTCAGAAAATGCAGAGAATTCAACAACACAGTACTTGCCTCTGAGATGTATGGGTTGAATGCAAAAAGTAACTTTTGATATATATATATATACTTAAGAAAAGTATCTCTAGATCATTGGTTTAAGATCTCAAGAGGGCAGAGGCTTTGACTTTTCCATGCAGCAACATCTGGTAATGAAAGATTAAGCCAATACAGAGGTGCAAAACAAACTGTCATCACACTCTCAGCTTCTTCTTCTGTTGTCTTTTATTACTCACACAATCTCTTTAGAGTGTCTATCCAGCACCCAGCAAAAAGTGGTTCATTTTCTTTTCAGAAAAACGTAAACCATTGTCATTGTCATTGAGTTAAACACTTGATAATGAAGTCACCTGAGGAAACGCTTTTATCTCTTGCTTTTCATCACTGCAGGGTTGTGACTAGATATGTGCTTTTGATTTGTGCTGTTATTAAAACGTGTTCATCTGTATTTGCCACGATCCTTAACTCGTTATCTCTACATGGTTCGAGCGAGCGTCCATGCTGGTGATCCTGCTGAACTGCGTGACACTGGGCATGTTTCATCCCTGTGAGGACATCGACTGTGACTCTGAGAGGTGCAAGATCCTGCAGGTAAGAGTTTTTTGCTTCATCCATTCTGAAAAAGTATGCTCTCTTTTCATGCAAAACTGTGTAAAAAGCTTACCATTCTTACATTCAGTAAATTGGTTTCGTTCTCTAATCCCAGTGACACCAACGAAGGATTGGCTTTGATGCTTTTAAACATGTTGCTTTAGTTGGAGAAGAGTCTGTGATGTGTTAGCTTGGCACAGGTGCTACACACGTATGTAGAGTCACTACCTGAGAAACAAATCAACACTATTCTGTGACCAGAGGTTTGATTGTCAGGAACCATCTGTGTTTATTTCTTGTTCTGACTCTTCCTGTGATGCAAGTTTTATGTCTGGCAGATAAACTAATGGAAGCTATGACACTGTCTTTTGAGCAACTTGTAAAGTAATGTATTCCTTTAAGTAGAAACTATGAATCAATCAATCAATCAATCAATCAATCAATCAATCATCAATCTTTATTAGTATGGTGCCAATTCATAGCACGTTATCTCAAAACACTAAAGAGCAGGTAAAAAGCCTTACTCATTGTTATATTATGTTACAACAGAGCAGGGGAAGACCTTACTTGTTGTTATCCTCATCATGAACACAGTTTTTAATTTACTTGCCTGACACAGTTTACCACATGAAGAATTGCCCTGATTAAATCATCTCGAATTTTAAGTGGGCTTCAATGATTTTTTTAAACGATAGAATTATTCCAGAAATGCTGCCTCCTACAGTTCCAATAATAACACCATAAATTAATGTGTGGTGTGCCCTCTCTGCCTAATAAAAAAAACGTTTTTTTTTGTCTTTAAGCCAAGTTAAAGTTCCTCACATGATATCATTTGTGTGACATGAAGGAGTCATTACATATTTTATCCACTGGTTATTACTCCCTTTGACGGATTGCTTGACTCTGTGTGAAACAGGTGAAGTTCCAGATGAAGTGTTTTGTTTGTTAATGAGTGGTCTGAGAACTTTTAACTTTTAACTTTTAACTTTTGTAACAACATCAACTCCATGATGCAACCATTGCTCATAAGAGTTTTTTCTCTGAAGTTCGTCTTTGAAGAAATGAAGCATGATTCGTATGTGTTGGTGATGAAGTTTCTAGTTGCCCTGAAACAACAATCTTTAAGGCTTAATGATCAGTGGTTACTGCTGCAAAAGCTGTAACGTTATCATCTGAACTGTCATGGTTTAAACATAATACAGCAGACTGAAAGGTGAATAGGTCAGGGAATCAAAGAGGTATTTACTTTCCAGGCAGCAAACCAAAAACACAGCAAGTTGCTCTTTGATAAAATGCTAGGAATCAGAAAGTAGGCAGTGCGATGCCCGATCAGAATCAGTCCAGAAAGTACATTTTATAGGTCGACACAAAACCAGTGGTTTAACTCTTGATTGAAACTATGTTTGATGTGTAGGGCTGAAAGAAAGCACTTTGAGACATGACAGAGGAACACATCCATCACAAGGATTTATTAATCGTTCTTGATCTTAATTAAATAAGACAAGTGCATCCAAAGGAGAGCCCCGCAGGATGAGTGGTAAATAAAAACTCTAACACACATCACGGGGATAAATAAACATTTGCGCGGGTTGATGTGACACTAGAGGATAGGGTCAGAAAGTGCAGATCATACATAACAACAAAGTATAATCATCAGCTCTGTGTGGCAGCAGGAAACAGCACATATCATTTTCTAACGCAGTCAGTCAGGTGGGGAACAGGAAGATATGAAACACAATTTTCTAAACCAGCGCCCTAACAGAGAGCTACTGAAACAATATTATCCAGCATATCTGGCCTCTGCAGCTCCCTCCAATTGTACCATCTCAGATGGAAAATAAACAACATTGTGAGAGGCGTTCCCATTAGTTTATGCACCCCCTTTAACCTGACAAACACTAATGGAACAGCATTGTTGTCATGCAAACACAGAGGATAGAAAATGATTATTTTTTTTGTGTGTGTTGGATGAGAGAATCAAGCAGATAGAGGCAGTGGGATAGATCTGTGTTATCTGGCACTGTTCATCTTGCACGTTGAAGGGATCATTTGCTCTCCAAGTGGTCCCAAATGGATTGAATCAGAACAATTTCCTCCTATGTTCTCGTCCACTGACTCAGTGAAATTGAGCAGTTTCTTCCAGAAATGGAATATCTAAGCATCTTTACATGCTTCCTGATGTCCAAGACATACTTTTTGGGAAACATATACTGGTCTGAAATGATTTCCAAAAAATGTGATTGTACTCTCAGGTTCTAAACATGCTCACTTATTAAATCTAACATTAATTTAGCAAAGGATGGAAGAGTACAAAGAGGACAGAGGAGGAATTAAAGAAGACAGGGGAGGGAAAAGAAGACAGAAGAGAAAGGGGCGATAAAGAAATGAGAGGGACAAGGAAAGGAAGGAAAGCAAAGGAGAGGGATGAAATGAGGGACACAAAAAGAGAGAAGAAATGAAAGGATATGGATGAACAGGAGAGAAGGGCATGTTGCAGGTGTATTTGGAGAATGGGTCGGTTTTGTGATGAAAAGAAAGCAAAAGAAGAAGCGTTGCAGAGGCTGCTGCTGTTACTAGGGCAGCCGGAGCCCATCAACTCCTTCCACAGCTCTGCTCTCGGATATGAGATGTGATTTAATTCCGCGGGTCTCCTCTCTGGAGCACAGATGAATGTACGGCCTAGAGGTTAAATGCATTCTCATTAATTCTTTGCCTCCCCCGTTTCAATCTCCTCATAACTCTATCCCCACCGATATGTTAAGGGGTCGTGAAGGCACATAACCTACACACATGAATGCCCTTTCCTGTCTTTGATCCCACTCATGCTGTCTGGCACAAACTGATGCTGAAGCCTTCTCACTTTTACAGACTCTCACTTCTATTTCTTTTCATCCTCTCTATCTCACACTCGACTTGCTGTTGCCCCAGACTTTCTTCCATGATCTCATACTTCTTCTTGAACAGGAGTTTGGTAGTTATTTATAACTTGAGGTACAAATACTTTCCCAATATGTCATTTAAAAACAGGTTTTGATTGCATTGTTCAGTGGTTCCACTGTAGAAAAGTAAGGCTATGTGTTAAGATTTAGTTTTAGTTCATGTTGTGGATTTGTCTGCATGAAGCCCATACACACTATGATTCAGATTTAAATAATTCTTTGTACATGTTCGATTGAAAGAGTCTGTAACAAACACATGTCATGGTACAGTCCTACTGTGGCAAAGTGTGCTTAATCATCATAAGTCTGGATTAATTTGTATCTTCATCTATTCCATCTCAATACCACTCGTCCTGTTTTGGGTCGCATTCGGGCTGGAGCCAAGTCAAGATGTCATTGAGCCAGAGGAAGGGTAGCCCCTGTACAGGTTGCCAGTCAATCACAAGGCTGACAGAGATAAACAAGCAGAGAACCCTATCAGCAATTTAGCATCACCATATAACTAAACAAGCTCGTCTTTGGTCTTTGGGAGGAAACCTCCTTCCTTTGAGGCGACAGCACTAAAATGGTAAAGAGAGAAGAAACACAACTTTTGATTGCGTTTTTGTCTCATTGTATGAAATAAGTCTTGAAGTTTGAACGGATGTCCCTGGTGCAAGGACATTGACGGACTGATGAGGATTTCAGAACCTTCCTTACCTGTAAGGCAGTAAGTCAATGGTAAGCAATGACTTCAGTAGCAGCATACTGTTCCTCATTTTAAACCAAGTGGTAATACCAGAACATGAGACCTGTTTTTTTAGTAGCTGTTAAACACAGTTTAATTTCCTTGTTTTATAACAATGATTAATACTGATATTTTATTATAGTTGAATACATTTTTGGAATACAATGCCATTGGCTTGAAGTCTAGTGTGATTGCATTCAAATCATTCTAAACTAAGTACATTTTGCTGGACTTTCTATTTATCAGCTGTTTTGTCTCCGCTTGCTTCATTTCTTTTTTTTCCATTGTATGCTTCAAAATCCATTTTGGGGAGAAATCTGTTACTTACACTGCAGGTTGCTGCTCTTGCTTCAGCTGGCTCACTTAGCTGTGTTCAGAAATCAATCCTGAGGCAGATTAGACCTTTATGGACTTTTTCCCAGGTCTAGAAAGTTTCCTCTCCATTCATTTATTCTGACACTTAAATGTAATTATGTCACTAATTAAACTATATCACAGCCGACAGTCTGGTGTTGGTGAGATACTGAATATGTTCCTTTGCTTCACTGTTGGCTTGTGTTCCTGTAGGCTACAGTGATATTAGTTTAAGTCTATATCAGACACTGAAGATTCAGTGCAGTTAGAAACTAAAGTGACTGTGGTTAGTTGAACAGGATTCTTTGTCTTCTGTAGGCATATTGTTACATCAAAGCTACATTCCCTTTAACATCAATGTGACTGTAGGACATGTCCCTGAACTCTTCTATCAGGCCTGTGCTCAGCATAGCCATGGTAGCATAAGTACTAATGAGGGGGCTCTGCTAGGCCTCTCAATGGCTCTCAACTCTGATGCAAGCTAAATGAGGCCTCATCTCCTGACAAAGCTAATGGTTGAAGACTGCTGTGTAGCTGCAGGCTAGAAGGAGAGCTGACCCATGGATTATCAACAATGCTGACGCATTGTTTACAGTTTGTTATAATGACACTTTGAGGTTATTTTAAATAGACTTCATTACCACAGTTTGGTTACATTAAAATGATTCATATTGTCAAAGTAGATTGTAAAATTATATTGAATTTTTTAATAGTTTAAGAGGCATTTAAAAGTTAATCAATAGCATTCGACCAATCAGCATAGCCCTGGGTATGGCAAATTCATCACTTTGGTCTACTCTGACATATTGTGTAACAACCATCGAATGGATTTTGATCCAATATTTATAAAAACAACAACATTTAAAGCTATTCAAGCTTTTTGTTGTTAGTGCCATAACACTGAAAAACAAATAATTATAAAGTTCATCTAAAACTTGGTTATTGGTTAAAAAAATACAATCAGCTAAACATTTAACATC